AATAATAATAATAATAATAATAATAATAATAATAATACGTTAGATTTAAAAGAAAAAAAAAAGTTGACTCAACTGAAAATTTTAAGCTAGCCAGCATTTTTGAGTTTACAAAACCAAGTCAAGTGCAGTTCTAGGGTTGCAAGTTGAGTCAACTTAAAACAGCTCTGCAGTAAGTTAACTTACAATTTTTAGTTTTCAACTTATTACTTCTTTTTTTTTTTTTTTTTTTTACAGTGATTAGGGCAATGGGTTTACTCAAAACTCTTAAGTATAGTAACTAATCGCTTATACAAGAGTTGAGTTTTTTCTGTTTCAGGCAAAAAATGTACAACAAAAATATTATTATTATTATTATTATTATTATTGTTGTTGTTATTAATATAATAAAAATAATAATAATTATTGTTATTGCTATTTTAGTAGTAGTAGTAGTAGTAGTAGTAGTAGTAGTTGTAGTAGTACAGTAGTGTTATTATTATTATTATTATTATTATTATTATTGTTGTTGTTGTTGTTGCTGTTGTTGTCTCAATAAATAAATAAATAAATAAATATCACACAAAGCCTATGACTGTTCATTGATCCGTCATAGTCAATTTGATTTGCACTTATTAAAGGTGTTTTGCTTATTTGAAATATTTTTTTCTGTCTACAATATGCCTTTTCTTTTTTTTTTAAATATGTTTGTCAGATATTATTTACCAAATAATGCAGCCTTCAACACAATAATGATACTCTTAGCTATCTTCTTTTGGTGTATTTGCCTTGACTGTAACTGACAGACTCATTTATACTTTACTTTCTGTCAGTAAATCTTTAAAAAATTCAGCCCCAAAGTAGATATTTACACTTTTTCTTTTCAAATATTGCTGTAAAATTGCACTAAAATGGGTGGCACGGTTGGCTCAGTGGCTAGCACTGTCGCCTCACAGCAAGAGTCTCTTGTGATTAGCTAATCGAATCGTTTCAAATTGCAAATGTGATGCAATTTTGATTAATCAAACAGCCCTAGCTATAGGTGAATTAAATAAACTAAATTTGCTGTAGTGTATGAGTGCATGTGTGAATGAGTGTGTATGGGTGTTTCCCAATACTTTGGGAAAACAGCTGGAAGGGCATCCGCTGCGTAAAACATATGCTGGATAAGTTGGCAGTTTATTCCGCTGTGGTGACCTTTAAAATAGAGACTAAGCCGAAGAAATATTCATGAAAAAAACCAAAGCAGCCATTTACACTTTTTCTTTTAATGAGTGCACTACAAAAGTTAGCATTTTAATGAAAAAAAAGACAAATGCTTGAAATAAAACAAATCTGAACAACATTTTTACAAGTAGTGGCTGCAGTGCAAGCAGGATAATGGATTACTAAGTAATAACGCAGGAGCAAGTAATAATAATGCCTTATTCTTCAACTATTCAAAGGTGTAGTGGTTTTCCTTGCATATATCAGCATCCAATGGTTCTCCTGTGATAAATAGATCATAACCACGACTTATGAAATAAACTGCGTATGCATAATCAGCATTCATCTGGATCCTGAGGTAAACATCATGTACAAGTTTGGCTTTGTCTTGTTTGTCTTAAAAACAAAATTTCCTCACTGTCTTAAAGCACCATGTGAAGTGTTCAATCGCACGAACCGCCGTCTAATTTCCACAGACTTTCAGGAGAAAAGACGTTTGAAGTGTGCGAATATCCTTAGTTAATCTGTTAAACAGATAAAGACGGGCGGCTTTTTTCTCCCTCTCAAAATCTCATTATAGGGCTCATCTTCACCTTGCCTACATCTCATTTCAGAGGAGTTTTTCAACACAACAATGTCAGAGAGGAAAGGAAACCGCCGCCGTGTGTTCGATTTTAATCTGGATCTTCTGGGACTCGGAGCGAGATTTCTATGTTCTTCTGCAATTTACATGTTAAATTCTGTAAGCCCTAGGTAGTTCAGGCGTTTGTGCGGGAACAGTGGGCGGTGTAATTTTCAAACGTTCAATGAATAATTTCATCTCAATTAGAAAATCAGGGCAACACAAATCTGCCCTTTAGCCCAAAACTACTGTTTCCACTTTCTGTTTGCGTCAAACGCCGTCTGACGCCAACATGTGCAATACAGGAAGTGCATTCACAGTTAATTAAATGGTGGCAATGCACGAGAAAAACAAAAGTTATTTGATCAGATGCAATGCATGAAGCGCATGTTTCATGTTGCTTTTAAAAATTGGAACATATTAATTAAAAAATGTTTTTAGGGGGGCATTATTATTTATGCATGTTGTTTAATATCCATATGAAAAGTTGTTGTTTTTAAACCAAACACAAACAAATATAGATAACCCACCCCCATTTACAGTTGAAAGCAGAAGTTTACATCTACTGTATAAAAAGGCACATAACCATTGAAAAAAAAAAGTCAGATGTTAAAGTGACTAAACCTTTTCTCTTTTAGGTAAGTTAGGATTATCACATTTGTTTCTGTTATGCTTAATTGCAGAATAATGAGAGAGAGATTTTTGAGAATTTTTTATAACTTTTCTTAAAAGTCAAGTTTACGTACAATAAGATTATTCTGCCTCTGAAAAAGCTCATATGATGGTGTCAAGGTTTTGGAAGTTTCTGATTGGCTAATTGACAACATTTGAATTAACTGGAGGCTCAAATGTAGAATAGTATTTAAGGAAAACACACTGCTTCCTTGTGTGACAACATGGGACAATCAACAAGCCAGAATCAACAACAAAGCCAGATTACAATTTGCTAATTGACACTGGGAAAAATAATAATTTTTGGAGACATGTCCTGTGATCTGATGGAACTAAGATTGAACTGTTTTGCCATAATGACCAGTGTTACATTTGGAGGACAAAGGGGAACACTTTCAAGACTAAGAACACCATTTCAACTGTGAAGTATGGGGGCGGCAGCATCATGTTGTGGGGCTGTTTTGCTGCAGGAGAGACTGGTCCACTTCACAGCATAGATGGCATCATGAAGAAAGAACATTATGTAGAAATACTGAAGCAACATCTCAAGACATCAGCCAGGAAATAAACCTTGGCCACAAATAAGTTTTCCAAACAGACCATGACCCTAAGCATACTGCCAAATTAGTTAAAATGTAGATTAAGGACAACCGAGTGAAGGTTTTGGAGTGGCCATCACAAAACCCTGATCTCAATCCTATAGAAAATTTGTGGGCAGAGTTGAAAAAGCTTGTGTGAGCAAAACAGCCTACAAATCTGACTCAGTTACACCAATTCTGTCAGGAGGAATGGGCCAAAATTCCTTCAAACTATTGTGAGAGGCTTGTGAAAGGATACCCAAAACATTTGACCAAAAGTATACAGTTTAAAAGCAAAGGCTAAAAAAATACCAATAAAATGTATGTCAACTTTTGACTGTCTAGAAATTATATAAAAAAAAAAAAATCATTATGCTGCCATGTAGCAAATGTAAATCATTTAGGTAATCCTAACGGACCTAAAATAGTAAACATTTAGTATGATTTAACATCAAACTTTTTTTTTTTTTTAAATGGTTATGTTCCTTTTTTTTGAGTGTATGTAAACTTCTGGTTTCAACTGTAGTTTTCTTCTCTATGCCCCTTTTATGGGGTGTACAGTTTTGCATCGGGTTGTTTATTCTGTGTGGTAGTGTTGTTTAGGGTTAGAGTGTGTCATATCTGTTATGTGATTGTGTACAGGGCCTGATTAAAATACATGTAAGTCAGTCAAGATTACATTTTTTTGTACACTGGTTTCCACTTTAATGAAAATATATTAAACAAACTTGATTAATGAAACCATTTTGAAGAAAAGGGCATGTTTTACTATAGCTTTTAGTGCAAGGGGGTTGCCATCTAGGCCTATCGTTGCTTCTGATGTCATGGGACTGGTTCCCCAACAAATACAATGGAAGTAATGGACTAAACACGGAGACTCGTTCATTCATTTATTTTATTTTCAGCTTAGTCCCTTTATTAATCGCCACAGTGGAATGAACCTCCAACTTATACAGCATATGTTCTACACAGCGGTTGCCCTTCCAGCAGCAACCCATCTCTAAGAAACAAACACGGAGACTGCAAAGCCTAATTTAAACCAATGCGTGAAGTTGTGGACGTGCATCGCAGAGCTACTGCAAATACAAGCATCAAACTTGTCTAATATATACAAAATTTTTTATATGTTTTCTAT